TATTATTCTGCTATTATAAGAATTATTCTAACAAAAAATTTTGATGAAAATACGAAAAAACGCTAAATTTAAATAGGAAGGAACTATATAAATAAATAGTCATATATGAAAAGTCCTTTTTTATATAGAAATATTTTTCAAAAAATCTTTAAATAATAAACACAAATAAATAATATATATTATGCTACAGAATAAACGTATAATAATAATAGTATATACTAATAATAATGTAATGTAATAATAAAATATTGTAGTATATATACAATATATATTAATAATATAAAACAATAACATAAATACATTATATAATAATATATAATATATATATAATATGATTTATATATAATGTAATAATAAAATATTGTAGTATATATACAATTTTTATATTATAATTATTTTCATTAATTGTATATTATTTTATATAATATTGTTGCATTTTTAAATTTATTTTGACAATATTAATATTTTTAATTTAATGGATCATTAATTTCAAAAGCATTAAAAATATTATTAAATTAATATTTCAAAGTTAATTAATTAATTAAATTTTTATGATTTTTTAATTTTTATAACTTAAAATTTATTGTTTAAATGTTTAAATTTGATAGTTATATATCCATAGCATTAATATTGTTAACTATTCTTTATATAAAAAAATACAAAAAGTCTTCATTACATTTGTAATTGTTGCTGCAAATGGTATTAATTATAAACGCCTTTAGCACATCAAATTAATAACTTCAACCTTTTTTATTTATAATTTTAATTATAACTGATTTTTTTTGCAAATTAATTTACAAACAGTTTTGTGTTTTCATTATAACTAATTTATCTTCTTATAAGTTAGAAGGGTTCGAACAGCAATGAAGAAACAACAAAAAATATTTTAATATATTTATGAAAATTTAGCTGACTATATATCGTTGTTTGGAGTATTACCATATTAGCATTTTTACATATTAGCATTTTATATTTTTTTAATTTTTTTGTTTTTTTTTTATTATATCTAATTACTTGTAAATAAGTGTATATGTAAGTATAATATGTATAAGTATTCTATATCAAAAATTTTTTTCAATCAAAAACGAACTGCTTACTTTAAAAATGTTTAATATTATATTCAAGGAATAATATTTTGATTGTTATAAATAATGTCGAGAAAGATAAATTTCATAAAATAATATATATGTACCTCTTATAAATAATAAATCAAATAATAAAACAAAATGCTAAATCTTTTTGGAAATCCCAATTTCCAATTTTTCATAATTTGAAAGAAATTCAAAGATAAATATATCAATATATTACAGACCGATGCTGTGGTTCCTTTGAGTTGGCATTAGTCCGCATATAAATTCTGTTTTTATATATATTAGAGTATCCAATTTTCGATTCTTAAAACCCGCTATTTGAAAAGAGTTTCCTGAAATCTGAACAGCTTTTTCACAAAAATCTTTTAGTCTTATAATCTTAAAGTAACGACATAACAATACATAACATATATAACGACATAATATAATATATAACTCTATCGTTAAAAGATATTGGAATATCGCTGTTCCAAAAAAATAAGTATGATAAAATATTAGTGTTTTCGATATAAATATTCAGAACATTAATTACTTTCCGTATATTAAAAAGTCTTCCAAGTTAATAAAAATTTTGGAAAATTAGACAACTAAGCTGTAATAAAAACTATATATATATATATATAATATGTCATATTATATTATTTTGGCAACTCCTTTCATTCTTTTCATACTTTCGCTTCTTTTTATTATGCATTATGTTAAGTAATATTTAGTAAAATTAATTGTATCTTTTTTATTTGTTATTAACAAGTCTTTAAAGTATTAAGCATTTATGGTGGTATTAACCTTAAATGGTTTTACATGACAATATATGGGCTTTTGCTATTTTTGTTCAAATTTCATACAAAAATTTTGATTGACAAGTTATATGATTAATATACTTCTTATAATTTCTTATAATTTTGCTTTAAAAATGTCCAAATTTGTTAGTAGTTAATTAGTTAAAATACGGAACTAGGCTAAAATTCACTGCCTACCTTGATTTGCTTCATTAGACTTTCCATGTAAAATGTTGTAAAATGATGTGTAATTAATGGTATTTCATATTTTTTACATAGAAATAAATTAAAGTTTTATGTAAAATAAGTTTTAATGTCTATGTTATAATACAAATATGTTTATGATGTCTGAAACTAATTAAAAAATGCATTAATTATATAGTTAATATATAAAATATCAATGAAAGATTTTTAACATTTCAAAATAAAACTTATTAAATAAATTGTTGTAAATAATATTGTAAGATTTTTCTTATTTTTTTTTACATGTAATAAGGAAAATATTTTTACGCCCACATATATACATTTCTTTAAATACATTAATTATAACTAATAATTTTTTATTTTAGTAGTATTTCTTTTATTAAATTTAGGTTATAAATTTAATTTAATTTTTTATATAATTTAAAATTAAATAGTTATACATAACTATACATATAGTTATATTAAATATATATTTTATATATAAAATTTCTGTTTTCTACAAAATCGAATCTTGTTTAACGAACAATAAATATATAATAAATATTCATTACATATACTATAGTTATAATATGTAGTTATAAATAACTATATATGTATATAGTTACATTGAATGTATATTTTATAAATAAAATTATTGTTTTCTAAAAAATCAAATCTTATTTAACGAATTAATCAAATGGTTATAAAAATATTCATAATAATCTTAATAATAATTAAGTACATTTATATAGCAGTGGTTTATGCTTTCTTTTTTTAAAGAAAAAAACAAAGGAAGTGTTCTCATTGTTATTGACAACAAAAACAAAAACCACAATTTTACATAATTCCATGTTTGAAATAAAAAGATTTTGGACATTTGACGAAATTTAGTTTTATCCTTGGAAGATTCTATTTAAAATTATATACATACCTAATGACATCCCAAAGAAATTTTCAAAAAGTTCTGTTTATGTTTGGCAATTTCGAAAAAACAACTCAGGTCAATAAAAATACTTTAAAAAAATGTATATTAAATATTTAATCAGTTTACTGCTAATATAAAAGAATTAATCTGTCTACCTGAGTCCTCTATAATTTTAGTTCATTAATTTTTAAAGTAAAAGGCATTAAAAAAGTGAAAGATAAACAGGAAGAGGCAAATATAAAGATGTCACGTTCATTGAACACTTCAATATATAAAATATATTTAATTTAAATTATATAGTAATTGTGATTAAATAGTAATTTATATAGTTTGTTATAAAAGAAAAGCAATTAACAAAACATAAATGTCTACTAAAGTAAATTATGTAGCAAATAAAAATAAGTAGTAATACTTAACTGTATAATGAAGTATAATATTAAATCATTATTTTAACACTAGTTAAAATATAATATAATTAAACATAAAACACTATTTAAATAAATTTTAACATCTTTATTTAATAAAAAAAATTGGTAGTTATCTGTTAAAAACAAATTTTATAATGATTAATAATATAAAAACGTTATTTTTATATAAATTATAATAAAATATAATATATTGTTTTAATAAATCTTAGTTATCTTCGTTCAATAAAAAAATCAGTTCAGTTCACTTTAAAAGTTAAAAATGATCACGATCAGAGCCATATGGCAGGCAATAGAGATCAAACCTTGAGTAAATATATCTGATGCTGCAAATATTGTACTAATTTTTTTTTTTTTCATTATAATACCACATTAAAAACTCTTTACCAACATATACAAAACTTTTAATTATATATATATAGATTAACGAAAGAGAGTTGATTGAAAACTGGTTGAAACTGGAATATAAAACAAAGTTTAATTTAATTATTAATCAAGCCATCGCCATCATAAACCTTTCATTAACGTCTAACGTCTCTCTTGTGAAATGGCTGTAAAATGATTTGAACTTGAAATAAAAAAATCCAAATAAATTTTTTTAATTTAAAAACATTGCTTTTAAAAAAAAATTAACATTTACATTTATTATCATGTTATTTTCATTAAAAAATTTCGCTACTCTGAAATTGGATTTTATCAATCAACTCTCGAAATAGTCAAAATATATTTAAGGCCAAAATAAAATGTTTGAAAATAGAAACCGAATTTCATTATAAATTTAAATAGGAAATATTTTTAAATTCAATTTCCTAAAAACTGATATTTAATTTATTTTTAAATAAATGTTTTTATACTTTATTTTACTTTTCGTTGTTTAAATATTTTTATAATAAGTATTCTCTCTCTTCTGTTGACTTGTATTTAATGAATTTATTTAAGAAATAATAATTGGTCTTAATTATTTAATTAATATTAAATATTAATATTTTCAAATAAAGTTTTTTTATAAAAAGCATTTCATCACTTTTGAATAATATGAGTTTAATATGAAAATAGTTAAATTTCAATAAAAATCGAAATTTAATTTATTATTATATTTTTTATTCTATATTTATTTTACTTTTTGTATTTTAAATAAAATTGAAATCTAATTTTCCGTTTAAACATATTTAATTCATTTAAACATGTTTACCTGTTCATACAGCCAACAAAAAATGTACGCACTTAATTTAAATAATATAATATAATGGGCGACAGGTATATCAGGTAGATTAATATGGTACATCTTCACACGAATCAATAAAACTATTTTAAAAACAATCAAGTAAAAAACATATCCATTATTTTATTAAAAGAATTTACCAAGAAATGACAGGTATTTACATGTATGTACAATAACAATCATAAAAGTACTTGAAGAAGATTCGCTAGGTATACGAAAATTATACTGTGATTCGCTATAAAAACCTGACATCCTACGAAGGATGCACAGAAGCACTCCAACTCTCAACTAGCGCAGAATACTTCACAGTTTGAATTTATTTAACTGAAATTAATTATTTCCGAAAGTAATATTCTACAATCTTAATAAAAAATTATGGAAAATATACCAAATTCACCAAAAACAAATTTGAGCTATCAACTCTTCTTGTATCGTGAAGAACTACGTAAACGTAATTCACAATATTTGAGACTCTCCAAGAAGAAATTTGAAATAACTGATGAACTTATTACGCAGAAGGTTAGTAATCTAAACGAATGCACTCCAGAGGATATAAAGACCATAAACCAAGAGTTGGAATTTAAACGTAAGCTGAAGTTGGAAATATATCGTACGCGCAAACTTATGAATTTGGGTATGAAAAATGTTGGCCCGAATACACCAAGCACCGAACTTTAAGGAGCCGGAAGGATGGAAGGATTGGATATATATACTATATACAGTATATACTTTTACTGGAAATTCAACGTAATATTAGCTGAAAAAAGGATCCTAATAACCAACAACGTACTGTGAGAGAGACCAAAAAGAAAATTGTGAAAATGATGAAACTAATGAGATTAATAGGTAATAAGTTTATATATAGGAAAATTGTAAATCTAATTATAAATAAATTGTAATAATAGTAATTAAGTTTATATATAGGATTAAGTTTTATATTGTAAATTACATAATTAAATTGTAATAATAGTGTTAAGCAAAGTAATTAAGTTTATATAGGATTAAGTTTTATATTGTAAATCAAATTATTAAGATTATACATATAATGAAATTATTAAAATTATACATACAATGAAATTATTAAAATTATACATATAATGAAATTATTAAGATTATACATATAATGAAATTATTAAGATTATACATTTAATGAAATTATTAAAATTATACATTTAATGAAATTATTAAGATTATACATATAATGAAATTATTTAGATTATACATATAAAGAAATATTGTGATTGTAAAATGTTAAGCAATGATTGTAAAATTTATTTAAATTTATTTAAATTTAGTTTAGTTAAATCCATTTAAATTGTATTAAATAATTAATTGCAAAATAAAATTGTATATATTAAGTGAACATTTCATCTTTTCATATTTTTAAAAGTAGTCCAAATTGAATAATCTGATTTGAAATTTTAGTTTTATAATTATATATTTCATTATATATAATATATTATATTAACCTTCTGGAAAGGTTAGTTAGAAAGGATAGTTCTGCAATCTTTTGCTGTTACAAAACACGTGGTTTCTTTGCTGTTGGGTACAATACATTTTTAATACTCTAAATATATATATTATATAGTGAAAGACTTCTACCACAAAAAACTAACTATATACAAGTAACTTCTCGAGCAAGACTGCAGGTATAGTTTCATCGAGTAACAGTGCTTAAAAGGAAGATTTGAAAAGAAAATATTTATAATAACTAATAGTTAAATTTATATAGCTGCGGTTTATGCGTTAGCTCTATGAATGGCCACAAAAATTGACAAAACTTTTGTATTGTGTGTGTTTTTGCGTGATCTATGGATACAATTTTCAATCCAAAAATTTTATACGGATGCCATATGAAAGAGCATATGGCCAGCTCAGATATCATTCTTGAAAAAAATTTCTTATATTTCTTATAAAAAGGGAAAAATTTTATTTTGGATTTTCTCTACCGTTACCACCCTTTTCTATTCGAAACAAATTTCTTGTTTCTTGTTATAGAATATTTATTTATTTATTTTTGAATTAACATTAAAATTAATTTTAAAGCTAACTAAGGATTAGGAACTAGTCTGTAGGTCCCCCGCCCTGCTGTCATAGGATTTAATCCTTATAATATTTTTTTTTTAAATTTATAAGAAAATTCTTGTTAAATCCCTTTTTAACTGTTTTTCTATATATTTATATCAATGTTAGATTGATAGTAGCGTATTTTCTATTGAAACTAATATCTTGAAATTTTTTCTCTTGGATTTATAATATATGTATTATTCAAATCTGAACTTCAAGGTAACTCAAACACCATTCTTGTATGTACTAAACAAAAATCACGATTTCAACTTAATAAACTAAATCATATGTAAATTGTCACATACTAGTATATTTATTTAAATTTAAATAAAATATCCACCGATCGAAAATTTCTCTCATGCAAGATTTTTCTTTGTATTTGTCATTATTCTTTATTTAATAATGTCATTATGAAGTGAACGTTATAAATCGTGAAGATCTCAAAATTCTAGTGACTTGTTAACTGACAACAGATGGTGTTTACATATATAACACACATTTCTCTTGATTCTTCTTATTAGTGCAACCAAACCGACCGAAAATAATAAAAATCGTGAAGAAAGACAGAAGAAGAAGAGGAAGATGCCTCATTTAATTGTGCTGAAGTTTATGTGCGCAGCAGCGGCAACTTTTTGTGATGACGAATGAATTTTTGGGTCTGCTATTACTGTGTATACTATGTATACTGTGTATTCTCATATACATTCATGTATCTATATAAGCCATAATTTTTAATCATGTGAGTGGTAAGATAAATATACATATGTAGACATTCTTATAGCGTTACAGACATGCACGTAAAAGAAATTAACATAAACGTTAACGACGTTTTAGTAACTTTCACTGACGAGTCTGATTATTATTATTATTATTATCTTTTTTTTGTATAAATTTTTGTATATTTTGATATTTGCTTTTAATCTGGAAAAAATTTAGAATTAATAAAAAGTAAAAATGTATAAAATGCATCTACACAAAATAATATAGTAAAATTTTCTACAAAATGTTGAGTTGAAATGAAAGATACCACCTATTCATAAGGTATCTTTACTTTCATGCAGCAGTTTAGAAAATGTATCTTAAACATTTTTATTAAATTCATTTAAAACGTTGAAACTCGCTGAACTTTTGTTAAGTAAACTTTATTTGTACGTGGGCGCTAAGCAATTTTAATTACATTTTATTGAACGTTTATACTTATACTAATTTTAATATATCCATTACTTTGTACTGGTATTGCCACTTTGACATTTGTTTAAATTTTAAAGTTCTGCAAAGTTATTGCATGCAAAATTATTTATTATCAGCGCTATTCTCGCCTGTGTTAGCCTTAAAAACTCTCGATTGTTCACTATTTTTGCATATAAAACACAGTTTATAATTTAACTGAAACTCGTTATTTATGCTAATCACATACTTTGTATAAATCGACAACACATAAACTGTGATTTTATTAATTTTTTTAAATTTAAGTTTATTTCTAATTCAACTTTTCTCTTCTTACCTACTGGTTTTATTGTTGATTTCAACAAATTATTTGACAATAAATAGTATATTTTGCAATAAATTGTTTGAAAGCAAATTTACTGAAAAAAACAATTTATTACTTGTAATTTGTTTATTGTAATATTTTAAATTATTTATAAATTTGCTTTTAACTGAATTAAGATAAATACGATTTGTTGGCAAAAAAATACATTAATAATAAAATTGATGTATGTAGAAATAAATTTTTTAATTTCTTAGTCAGTAGCATTTTATGGAATATTTAGTATTATAAGTTATTCTAACATTAAATATCTAGACGTTACGGTGGACAAACGATTTGCATGACTAAAACATGCTCAATTGAAAAAAATTAGCTGTGCCTTCTTTATCATCTCCGACCGCTATTTAAAAATGAAATTCTCAATTCTAAGAACAGGAAGCTGTTATATAACAAAATAATTTGATCGTCACTTCTATATGGATGTGTAGCGCTTAGCAAGGCTTCAAACACTACTATTCGCCAGCTAGAAATTGCATAAAGCTAGGCTCTGAGAATATTTTTCAAGGTACCATGGTACATTAGAACAAGTGACTTCGTCAGGGACCACAAGATTGATTCGATCAAAAAATACATAAGGGATAGAGCTCTGAAATTATTCACGAAAACTGACAGGCTTACCAACACCGCGCTATCGAATCTCAGAATGGTTACAGGCTCATCGGGGAGGTATGTAGATTTGAGGTAAATTATTGCTTAGTCTGATAAAGAGATAAACAATAATTCAGTCAAGACGTAGAGAGGAGTTATAAAGAAATCTCGCTTAAGTGCTCTGACTTAACTAGCCTCAACATAATAATAATATTCTCAGCAGTACGACTAACTTCTTTTATAAGTCTCTTAAGCAAATATTCAGGATTTTATTTGTATACCTCATGTAAAATCCAAAACTGATTTTTTGGTTCAAGAAGTAAAAAATAGTGAATATAAAGTAGTTCCATTTTATATAGTATTTACTGAGAAAAAACATATCAATAGATATCTAACAAATTGTTTTGAAATGACATTTTTTTTTGTGGTAAGGTGCTACTAAATATCGGAAACGGAACCCTAATCTAATGTTTTTTGGTTCAAGGAACAAGCTCAGGTAGATATATAGAAAACACTCAGTTTATATACTTAAATGCTTATAATTATGCATAAAATAAAACTAAATAATTAATTAAAATTAGTAAAAATTGTACAATTAATTTTAACTTTATTTTAAATAAGACGAAAACATAAATTTATTGAAATAATAAGCTGTCTTTGCAAACATTTTAAAATATATATTTTAAATATTAATATATTTTTTATGTATTTAAATTTTAATATTTATTAATATATCTTTAACATTTATTTATTTATTTAGAGGATTATATTTAAGCTATAATTTTAAAACTAATTATTGTTTTTTTGCCACTGTTGCTGTTAATGCTGCAATAGCCGTGTCCATTTCTTTCAAGACATAAGCTAAATTCAGTAAATAGTTATGTATGTATAAATAATAATATATATCTTTCGGCTTTCTATTATATTTGTATTAAAATTCAATTGCTTAAAAAGTTTTTTTGAAAGACTTTTGTGCTAGAATAGATAAAAAGTTATGAATGGAATTTTAGTCGATCTTACAAAGATCTTGCGAAAGGCGTTTAGAAATCTTTGCCAGAATTGCTATGTAAATATGAGAAAAAATATTTAAATGTTAGTATTATTAATTAAATTATTTTATTGGTAATAAAGTATTTCATTGGTAGCTACAGTTCTAACTAAACAATGGTTTTAGGTCTGAAAATATAAAAAACTTGAAGTTGGATTACGTTCTAACAGATTGGCATTGAGATATCACAAATAAACCTCTGTTCCCTTCATTATATCTGTTAAAGATATTATTGTTAATGTTCAGGTCTCTAAGTAATACAATGTGTCCAACTTCTAGCTAAAACTAAAAAAAGTTTATCAATGCATTTTAGTAAATTCTATTAGTATTGATTTTCCAACAACTAATACGGCATTTATTCCACACCGATATTTACAGTTTTTTAAAAATTCAATATTGATCTATAGTTATTTTTTTATGTCACAC